TTATTTTGGACTAATGGGGAAAAAAATCAGTTTATTGCATATTCTTACCTCAGTGTGGGCCACACAGTGAACAAAACTTTAACCACATGCCATGTGGAAGCAGCAGTAAAATGCTACACTGCTCTCTGCTGTGCAAACAGGTCTGGAATCAAAATTTAGACCAGAAGGGATGTGCAGCAGCTTGGGTTTCTGAATATTAGAAAAGGTAATGTTCCAATAAACAGAATGTGATGGGAAGATGGAAGGAGTGTTTTGAGAACATAATGAATGAAAAGAATAAAAGCGAAAGAAGAGCAGAGGTCACAGAAATTGTAGACCAGGAAGTAGGAAATATTAATCATTAACCATTTACCATTAATCAGGATAAAGTACAGAAAGCTTTGAAAAGGATGAAGTAGGGGAAGGCAGTTGAACCTTACATACCAGTAAAGGCATGGAAATGGGWAGGTSAGACAGCAGGGAGAGATGAGGCCAAGCAGGACTGATGTTTGCAGATGACAYTGTGATCTGTCCAGGTGTGCAGTTGAAAGAAGAAGAATGAAAGTCAGTCGTAGAACGATAGAGTACACGTGTGAATGAGAGGGAGGCAGGTGGAACAGAGAGAGTAAAGTTACAGGACTTCTAGTACTTAGTGTCAACTGTCCAGGTAACAAGGAAGCGTGGTAAAGAGGTGAAGAGGAAAGTTTAGGAAGAATGGAGTGGGTGGAGAAAAGTTTCAGGAGTGATTCTTGACAAAAGGGTTGTAGCAAAACTCAAAGGTTTACAAGAGAGTAGGGAGATCAGCTATTGTATGGTTTGGAGACAGTGGAACTGACAAAAGACAGGAGACAGACCTGGAAATGTCAGAGCTGAAGATGTTATGGTTCTTCTTGGGAGTGACAAGGATTAATACGAAAAGGAATATGATCAGCAAAGGTACMGCACAGGASTGATCGACTGGGAGATAAAGTTAGATAGACCAGACTGAGATGGCTCAAATAAAGGAGGGACAGTAGATATATTGGTAGAAGGATGTTAGAGATTCAACTGCCAGGACAAAGACAGAATGGATTTAGGATCCCTGATACTAAGTATTCACCCAGACTCTCCCAAAATCGAGAGGGTCCTCTTTGATCCTCTTGGAAGCAAGGAAGTGAGAGGCTGAACCATTGCTGACCCACTCAAAACTAATAGAGTGAGAGGTGTCTTCATTCTCCCACAACACTTACACCTAGGAACAAAATAGAGTTACTGATTTGCCTAGCAGGAATTAGAAATAACTCATTTATATGTGACGTGAAACACAATGTTCTCTGGTAGACTATGTAACACAAACAGGACAGCTTCAGCTTTTGTAACATTTCATGTTCATACACTGTGGTCACAACTTCACTCACCTGTCACTGACTCAGTTTGATGGAGTTTATATTGCAAATGATACTTTCACAAATAGTTCAGATTTTATTCCTAATAATATCTCATTGTTTTTTAAATTATCTTATTAAAAACTGCAGATCCAAAACAGAAATTTAATAAAATG